AGGGTGTTGTGGCGTCGGCGAGGGGGGGAGCAGGAGAGAGAGAGAGAGAGAGAGAGAGAGAGAAAGAAGGGGAAGGGGGAGGGGGAGGGGGGGGAGAGAGGAGAGAGAGATGGTTTTGAGCGTTGGTTTTTGGCTTATATAGAGGATGTTGTGTGCTCTGTTGTCTGCTTCATTTGTTTTAATTTTTTTTTCTTTTTGTTTTTTGCGCGTATTTTTGGGTAGTGATTGATTGATGTGGCTGTGTGTTTGTTTAATTTTTTTTTTCTTTTATGGTTGTAGTTTTGTCTAATCCAAAGATTAAAGTAGTGTGATTAGTAGGTTTACGCGTAGAAGGAATTTCCACGTACATTACTTAGTAAATTATTCTATGTTTTTGTTTTTGTGACCCGTGTGTGTCACAAATTTAACCTTAAAAATAGAATCATTAGCTCAAATTGATCACTGTATTATAAAAAATTACAATTCATAGCTTAGAGTTTAAAGATAAAATTCGAAACAAATAAAAAAGATAGTCCTTAGAGTTGTATAGGAAGATGCCTATATTAAAAGTTAAGTAAGAACGAAATAAGTAAAGGATCCAACTCTAAAACTGTATAGAATCAAACCTTTTTCTTTTCTGAAAAGCATCCATATAATGCACTCACATTTTCTCTGTTCATCCATAACTTTATAAAACTACAAGTTTCTTATTAAAAGAACAAGTTACAATTATTTCACACCAACTCTTTATGACTTGCATAATGTAGTAGCTTGTAATGTAGTAGATATCATATGTACCTTATTAGTCATCATGTATAATATCATGCTTGTGTGTGCATATTCAACATGACTCATTTCGTGACCCATCGCGAATTACATGCTCGTATTTTGCCTGACATAACGCTTTTTCATCGTGTAATGTATGTTGTAATCACGCAAATTGTACTTGTACTAACTTTAATTCATTTTTTTCTTTCTTTCAAAAAAGTACTTTTTGTGTTATGTTGAGTACCAAATATAATCCGATTTCGGATATATATGAATGAATACAAAGAATTGGTGTTGTTGCTTGCACCATTACAATAATATAATGATACACGAAATATGGGGGTCGTAAGTGTAATGAGTTGGTTAAAGTGGATGGAAGCTTTCTTTTCTTCAAGAAAGCAAAGGGAAAGGAGGAGGGCACACGTGTAAGACATAAACAAAAGATGCATAGAGCCAAACAAAATGACAAAATAAAATAGTTTGTACGTACGGTTTCTCACATGGGAGTTCCCATGATCTAAGGCAAACTCTCAACGTGCACTCTCTATGTGGTTTATTGTTGTTGGAATGTCGTCTGCCTCCTGTTCATTTTTATTAATTTCAATATTTATACTTTATTAATTCTCTGCTTGAATTAAATTAAATTATTTCCATTATTGTTAATTAAAGTGAACATGCGGTGTGGTGCACTAACAATATTAGATAATTAACAAGACGACCTTTTAATTAGCCAAAAATTAATGATTTGCTTAAGGCAAGGCAAGTTGATCAAATTTATGGAAATGTCGTATGTGGAGTTAAGGTTGGCCCCTAGGATTAAGGACAGCCCTTCAAGAAGTTTGGCTATATTAGTCACAAGCCAAGCTGCCACTTGTCCTTTATTTTGTTGATATTTGTCTCTGGGGGGTCTTGATGTTCTCTACTAATGTGCCATGGTATGGGAATACAGAGACAATGAATATGACATGGTAACAGAGGCAATGTGTATGTGTTTATGTGTCTTATTTTTATTCTTTTATAACTATTATTGTTTTACAGCTACATTCTTTTTAATGAAAAACCAAGATTGAAGTCTTATATGTGTATTTGATATTTTTAAAAAAAGTCTTATATGTGTAAGAAAAATAAATGTTTGGTCGTTGAGCTTCACAAGCGGACAAATGTGTCTCTATTATGACATAACAAGAATTGTTTCACGTTGAGTAATTTGGCTAACCTTGAAATCAATTGACAATGAAAAAATAGCCAAATTACTCAACGTGGACCAACTCTTCACATGTTCATAACATGTTATGCAGTTTTTGTATTATCTAACCATTATTAATCATTGAAAATGGTGGTTTTGGTTGCTTATATGTGTTGTTGGTGGATCAAACCCTTGATAACAAGATCTCCCAAAAACTATTAAAATTAAAGAAATGTTAGCTGCTTGAATTTAATTCATTATTTAGTTTCTATGAAATATCTTCCTATTACTTAGCGTTGAGATGATTTGGACACCAAGTGCAAGTGATATTTATCTATATCTTGCTTCAAATTAAAACATAATATTCACCAAATTTGGACACCAAGTGTAAGTGATATTTATCTATCCCAATTGTGTATTCTTATGGGTTTTTAATGCAGTGATTTCGACCGAAAAAAAAAGCCATCTTCAACTATCCACATCACATTCCAAAATAAACGAAGAAAAAGTCGATGACCTACTTCCATTATCTTGAAAGATATATGTCCTCGAAAGCAAGTTGATTATTCTCAAATGAGTCGTTGCCATATGCCACATATAACTAGTTACGAGTAAGATTATCTTCATTAGGGGAAAGGAGATGGTAATCTTATGGATATTGTAAAACCTAATTGGTTCATATATACTGCTTGTAAACTTGTTGGCTCAACTGGCACCCCAATTAGGGTTCATAATTAGGCCGGGCCTCACGGGCTTTTTTGAATTTTGAGACATGGGCCAGGCTAAGGTTTCAAATCCTAACCCTAAGCCTTACCCAAATCACGGGTCACACCTGGTTTTGGCCCATCAGGCCTCGGACTACCCATTTCAGTCTATGGGCTTATGGTCAAAGGATGATCCCAAGCATTAGGTGGTCTATTGACTTATCAAGTTGTGTGATGTTATGTACATAAGAGAAAAACAATTATACAATAAGTGAACGATTATAATTATAAAGGAAAAAAAGAAAGAGAAAGAGAAAGAAATACCAAAATAATAATAATAATAAGCTTTTGCCTACCGGTTTTGGCGGATCGTAAGCATATAATTGAGAAATACATTCAATTCCCATACTTTGCATTTTAAGGGAAAAATGAGTCCACCATTATAACAAATGCAATGACATCATTTTCTAGTGGCGGGCACATCTTGGCAAATTTTGTCCAACCATCTATGATGTAGATGTTTTTAAAAGAAATCTTATTGTGTCCGCCGGACAAAATAATTCATGTTATATCATTGTGAAAACAAAAATAGAATATTAATAAGACATATACGGTTATATTATTTTCTTGGCAATAAATGATATTTCTTGTTTTGTTTTACTTTAAGTAGCCCTAAACTCATTAGTTAGTGAAAGATAAGCACAATCCACAAGTTGGTTCTAATTAAGAAACTCACATTTGACGGCTCATACTTTCCGACTCTATAAATATTAGCATACACATATTTTCACCAATTTGTACTATGTTGTGACCAAATACCCTAAGGTACAATGGGTTGTTCTCATGTGCCACATGTAACCAGTTAAAAGTCACGTTATCTTCTTTAGGGGAATGTAGATGTTAATTTGCTGCATATTGGAAACCCATAGGTTTATGTATGATGTATGTAAACTTGTGGGCTCAACTGGCATCCCAGCTAGGGTTCGTCATTGGGCAGAACCTAGATTTTTGGGTTCTGCTCAGTCCTCATGTGCTTTTATGAAATTTTTAGCTTGGGTGGGCCTAGACAAGCCTAGCCGTTGTGGGCTGAAGGTTTCAAATTCTAAGCCTAAGCCTTATCCAAATCAAGAGCGAGCAAGAAGAATGGTTGGACCGGGTTTTGGTCAATTAGGCCTCAGGAAACCCACTTCGACACGTGTGCTTAGGGCCAAATGATGATACCTAGCACTAGGTGGTCGATTGACTTCTCGAGTTGTGTGTTGTTATTTATATAAGAGAAGAAACAATTACACAAGTTATAATAAGTTGTTGCAATGTGCAACATGTCACTAGTTACGAGTGAGATTATCTTAATTAGGGGAAATCAGATGGTAATCTGCTGCATATTGGAAATCCATAGGTTCATGTATGCTGCTTGTAAACTTATTGGGCCCAGTTGGCACCCCAGCTAGGGTTCGCCATTGGGTCGGGACTAGCGAATTTTTTTGAATTTGGAACTAAGCCAGACCGAGGATTTCAATCCTAAGCCAAAGTTTTACCCAAATTAAGAGCGAGTCGGACAGAGTGTGCAAAAAGAAAGAGTCGAACCAGGTTTTGGCCCATCAAGTGTGCAAATGCAATAACATCATTTGCTGGAGATAGAGACATCATGACAAATTTCTCACGACCATTTGCGATGTAGATGTTTTTAGTAGAAATATTAGTGTGTTCGCCGAAAAGAATGATTCTCGTTATATCATTGTGAAAAAAAAAAGAATATTAATGAGAAAATAGTAGTAATATTATTTTCTTGATAATGAACAATATTACACAATAAGGTATAATAGGTTGTTTCGATGTGCCACATGGTGGAGAAAAACTTCCCTGTCACAAGTGGAACCCAATGAAACACTGATAGTTGGAAACCTAATTTTACTTCCAAATTAAAATATTTAAAATAATTTATGCACTACTGTTCTTCTCTTTTCTCGCTCAGTTCTCTTTTCCATTCCTCTCTCTTCAATCACTCATCCTTCAACATCATCCACCCACCTCCTTACATGCCTCTTTGTCTTCAACCACTTCCTTCATCACCAATCCCATTTCTCTTTTGAAAAAAAAAATTAATAATATTGATTGAGTTATATTTATCGGGGATTCTAGAAATTTTGAAAATTGTAGA